ATTGGGCTCTAATGAACCGTATTGGGCTTTAATGAACCGTATTGGGCTTTAATGAACCGTATTGGGATTTAATGAACCGTATTGGGCTTTAATGAATTTAGTATTGAGTTTTAATGGATCGTATTAGGCTTTAATGAACCGTATTGGGCTTTAATGAACCCTATTGGGTTTTAATGGATCGTATTGGGCTTTAATAAACTGTATTGGGCTTTGGTAGAACTGTATTGGGCTTTAATAAACCGTATTGGGCTTTGGTAGAATTGTATTGGGGCTTTGGTGGTATCGTATTGGACTCTAATGATAATAATAATAATAACAATAATAATAAAAATAATAATAATAATAATAATAATAATAATAATAATAATAATTATGATTATAATAATAATTATAATTATAATTATAATCTATATTATATTATAAAGGAGATTTCATAAAAGTCTTAAATACAACTTTAAATGCATAAGGTACTGCCTTTTAATGYATAAAGTCTTAAAAACAAATCCTTATCTATACTACATTATAACGGAGATTTCATAAAAATCTTAAATACAACTTTAAATGCATAAAGTACTGCTTTTTAATACATAAAGTCTTAAAAATATATCTTTATGCATAGAGTACTAAAAGATTATAAAGTCTTAAAAACAAATCTCTTATGCATAGAGTACTCCAAGGCATTACACCACCTCCACTTTATGTATTAAACAAATCTCTTCTCCATTCATTTCTCCCAGACAGCATGCATAAAGTACTTCAAGGCATTGCACCACCACCGTGAACTGTGCAACCACCTCCACTTTATGTATTAAACAAATCCCTTCTCCCAGACAGGACACAATTTCCGGCGGATTTCTTAATTACTCAGTTTAATCTTGAATTTACAACATTTTACCGGCGGATTTCCGGCGGATTTTTTAATTTTTTCCTAAAAAAAAGAGTAAACAATTTTCCGGCAGATTTCCGGCGGAAAAATAAATAATTTTTTTAAAAAATTTAAAATTTCCGGCGGAAAGTTAAAAAAAATCTTTAAACAAAGAATTAACAATTTTCCGGCGGATTTCCGGCGGATAATTAAATATTTTTAAAAAATATATAGCAATTTCCGGCGGATTTCCGGCGGAAAATTAAAAAA